AAAAAAAAGACCAAGCAAATTTAATGTCATTTACTAGAAATAAAATTTATTCATTGGACTGAGAACCCAACGTTGGGTTCTCATCGCAAGATTCCCCCCCACCTCACATAGATTTGAGTCGTTGCTCCTGCAATCACTGTTAATACTGGAGTATAAGTTTCCCCTTCAAACAATCTGAAAAAATTATCGTAATAGTATTTTAAATTCGAGCCCACCGATTTCACGATGTTTCCTTAAAATGAATTTGCTGCCTTCAACGGTGCTAAAGGTGTCCAGCAATCGTTTCCCAAGATAGAATGAATTTCGTCTCCTACGGAAGCAGCACAACAATCTGTAGGAGTTTTAACGAATGCAACGAAGTGATTTTACTTCGAAAATAGTATCAGAACGAGAGGAAGAATGAGATTCAAAGCAGAGAAAATTTGTAATGAAAATGGTGTAATTTTTCTAGCAGTGGGGCAAGCTATTCATAGACTCGTTCGTGGCCATTCGAACACCCTTCAAAATAGTCATCACTGTTCAAACAGTCTCCAAAACTCCAACAGATATGTTAGTTCAATACTGCGTCTATTAAGTTGGTTAACGATCGACTGTTAACAGTCGACTGTTTGCTCAGTTAACAGTCGTTTGTTTAACAGACCATTCAAAAAATTACTCGAAAAAAGCCATTGAAAAAATAAATTTTATTAAGTACCCAAGAATTTGATTGTATATAATTTGGTCCAAAAATTCAAATAAACTTTGTCCAAAAATTAATATAGTGCAAAGACGTACCTGCACCGACTCGGACTCGGACACTGGCACGTGCTCGTGCCGTGTCGAGCCGAGCCGGGCAGTTGGTCGGACAATGGCGCACGCGTGTGGGCTTATGATCGAATCCGATAGGATATAGGTCTCCCCCCTTCCAAAGACTATTGGTACCCCTTGGGGTCCAAACCCAATTCTCAAACTTACACCATATAAACCACACCAAAGTTTCAAAACTTTTCTATGTGAGATAAGTGTTTGGGCAAATCAAATTCTTCACTAATTCATAATTTCAAGTGGGTTACTTTGACATTAAATATTTCATTCAATTTTAAATGATTTTCGATAAATAAATATACCACGTTCGTCACCTTGTAGAGTAGAACGTGAATATGCTAGGTCCTTTATTAATTAAGATGTAGGTCCCACTGAAATTTGGGTCCAAATTTGACCCATTTCATACCATTTTCTAACAATTCCCCACATGAATGAAATGTGTTGGCCTTTTCCAAACAACAACATCTGATATGTTTTTCTAAAGAAAATTGAAGAAAACTGCATCAAGTTAAGTAGCCAAAGACTTTGAACTTTCCCTAGTAAAATCTATCGGATTTACTTAGCCAATCAGTAGCAAGTTGCTTTGAACAATCAGTCGTTCATGTAAATCTAGACAATAGAAGTCACACAATTCGCTTCGAAAATAGTTGGTTCTCATGTTTGTGTCCATTTTGACCTTGGATACCTCCTGGTTCATGACTGTTTTTTAGAGAATTCATCTTCATCTGATTTTCTTAGAAGCAGCCCCTTCTCACCCACATAGGTGATTTCCATAAAGAGTAATCTACTATACTCCACTTAAACGAATAAAGATATAGAAACCATTAAAAGCATAACTTAACCTATTTCATGGCAGTTAGGCGCTGGCTCATCATAGGAATGGGTAGGAGTGATAATCTCCCCAGTGCTTACTAAGTTTTTCACAGTTCGGTTGTCCCATTAAACCTAGATCTTGGGATCTCCAGTCAACTAGGTTGGATTGCCACCATGGAAACTTTTGATTATTTTATCGATTTTAATCTCATCCCCTTCAATGAACTTTCAACTTGCTCTCTTGTTAAACTTTTAGTTAGCGGATACGCAATATTTTCTTTTGATTTTACATAATTTATAGTGATAATGCCAGTAGAGAGCAATTATCGAACAGTATTGTGTCTACGATGTATATGTCGAGATTTACCGTTATACATAGCATTTCGTGCCCTACCAATTACTGATTGACTATCGCAATGGATACATATATCAGGCACAGGTTTTATCCAACATGAAATATCTTTTAGGAAGTTTCGTAGCCATTCGACTTCTTCTCTAGCTTTATCTAACGTGATAAATTCAGAGTCCATCGTTGATCTAGCTATACATATTTGTTTTGAAGATTTTCATGATACTGCAGCACCTTCAAGTGTAAAAACATATCCACTCGTTGACTTGGAGTCTTTAGTATCTGATATCTAATTTGCATCATAGTATCCTTCAAGTACTGTTGGATATCTCGAATAGTGCAATTCAAAGTTTTTGGTATGTTTTAAATACCCTAAAACCCTAATAATTGCCTTCCAATGATCAGCGCTTGAATTGCTTGTATATCGATTTAGCCTACTAATTGAATAAGCAATCAAGCCGAGTACAGTTCGTGATATATATTAAACTACTAATAATTCGAGAGTATTTCAATTGAGACTTACAGTCACCAGTATTGGAAACAAGATGCATACTGGCATCCATAGGTGTTTTTATAGGAATAATATCATATTTCTTGAATTTATTAAGAATCTTCTCAATGTAGTGTGATTGAGACAATATGATACCATTGGATATTCTAGAGATTATAATTCCTAATATAACATCGGCCACACCTAAATCCTTCATTTCAAATTTGTTTGTTAGCATCCTTTTAGTAGCATGAATTATGGTATCATTGTTACCCATAATCAATATGTCATCTACATATAAACATATCATGACATATCTATTTTGAGTGCTCTTGACATAAACACATTTGTCACACTCGTTAATTTTGAAACCATTTGACATCATAACCATGTTAAATTTTTCATGTCATTTCTTAGGAGCTTACTTTAATCCATAAAGTGATTTAACAAATTGACACACTTTCTTTTCTTGTTCTGGGGCGACAAATCCTTCAGGTTGCTCTATATAAATTTCTTCATCTAACTTTCCATTCAAGAAAGCTATTTTAACATCCATTTGATGTATATCCAAACCTTTCAATGCTGCTATCGCAATAAACATACGTATGGAAGTTATTTTTGTTAGAGGAGAATTCAAGACGTTCTTTTTACTTATAGCCTTTAGCGACAAGTCTAACCTTATATTTATCAATTGATCAATCTGCTTTCATTTTCCTTTGAAAATTCATTTACATCCCAATGTCTTATTACTAGGAGAAAGGTCTACTAATTCCCATGTATGATTTTGTAGTATGGATTCAATTTCACTATTAACAGCTTCTTTCCAATATGAAGCTTCGGTTGATGACATAGCTTTTTTAAAGTTTTGAGATTCATTTTTTAACAAATATGTTAGAAAGTCAGGCCCAAAGGAGGTTGACGTTCTAGCCCTCTTACTGCATCTATGTTGTTCATTTATAGGTTCTTGATCTATAGCCTCCTCATTTTCAAAAGATCTCTTCTATGAATTTGAATCATTTTGCATGTTATAAGGAAAAATATTTTCGAAAAATATTTTCAAAAAATGTAGCATCCCTTCATTCAATAATCGTATTAACATGCACATCGGGTATTTCAGACTTGTGTACAATAAATCTGTATGCATTACTATGGTAGGTGTAAAGGAATTAATTCCTCTGTTTTTATTGAATTCAATTGTATATGTACAACAGTATATATATAAAGAAATTTTACAACCAATCTTTACAGCTATACAATTTTAACATAATGGCAGGATCAAATCTTCCTCATTTGTTATGTTCCTGATTTGTTGAGATTACATCAAATCTGCTGCTATGATTAAGCTCCTAATCTGTTGGTGTTTCATCAAATTTGCTGCTGTGATTAGGCTCCTGATTTGCTGTTATAATTTCACCAAATCTGTTGCTGTAATTTCGGTTCTGATCTTCAGCCTTGAATTCAGTTTTGATGACTTCATTCTCTACAGAATAGAAGAAATGAAGAACCATGAGTCTATATTTCATCTTTTTCAGTAACCTCTTTTTTTCCTTTTCATTTTTCTCTTATTTTCTTCCCACTTTTCTTTCTTTTCTTTTTGTTCCTTTTTTCTTTTCTGCTTTGTTTCTATAGGCTTCTAGTTGTCTCCAAAATGAGAAAGGGGATTACTTATCCTTTAAGTGGATATATATTGTATAATTACTAGTCAAGTCCCAAATCTTCATATAATATAACATTTAGTCCTTTAAATCTCTAAATTTTTATTTGGTAATATTTCTGACCCTTTGAGTAATTACAAATTAGGCCCCATGAAATCATTTGTTTCAACTTAAGTCCTTATTTGACTGTGACTTCACTAAATAACTTCTTGATTTTGACTATACCGAGTGGGGTGTAACACTATGTATGTAATAATGTGTGTGATAAAATCTTAAAACAGCATCTCTATCTTGTACAGACAATTTTTGCGTGGATATAGTCATTTTACTAACAGATTATTTTTTCTATATGTCTTATTTAGGTAAAGGGCACTTCGTGACTTGCTCCAAAGACTTGAATTCAGAATTATTTTTTGCAGTTTTAGGGGGTCTAGGGCAGTTTGGCATCATAAATAGGGCAAGAATTGTCCTAGCAAAAGCACCAACAAGGGTAAGTACAATAAGGTTAATATTTTGTCATAATTATATTAAAAAAAAAAAAAAAACGATGATGTATATACTATTAGTTTATATATAGTAGTGTATGACAAGATATATTTGTTTTACTAAAATCTTAAATCCTATGAATGGGTGAAACAGCAAGCTTAATTTGCCAGGTAACATCATTTGTAGTTCCACTAATTTGTTATATTGTTAATTTGTGTTCTTTCTTTAGGTGAAATGGGTGAAAATGCTATACCATGATTTCTCAATCTTTACAAGAGATCAAGAACAACTTATCTCAATCAAGGGTCCAGATTATTTGGAAGGCTATCTCATGATGGACTACATTCCTGTAAATGAATGGAGATCTCCCTTTTTCACACCTTATAATGAGTCCCAAATTTCTTCTCTTTTGAAGAAATACGGCATCCTCTATGGCTTAGAGATGGTCAAGTATTACGATGATGAGACCGCCAATTTAGTGGATAAAGTATGTGTTTACATATAGCGTACTCTTATTTTTTATTTTTTATTTTTTTTAAACTCAATACTGCACTCAGAGATTCACTTTAATCAATATACTTCCATGGTCGTTATATTATACCGCAGATGCACATGGTCTCTTATTTTCTTTTTCTTGTTATTTCAGGAAGTCCAAAGGTTGCAGGACGGATTGAACTACATTCCTGGTTTCTCTTTCACGAGAGATGTAACCTATGTTGATTTCCTCAATCGAGTTCGACAAGAGGAGATAGCCCTAAGATCAGGAGGATTATGGGATGTTCCTCATCCATGGCTGAATCTTTTTGTACCAAAGTCTCATATCATGGATTTCAATGCTGGTGTTTTTGTAGATATTCTTCACAGTAAAAAGATGTCCAAAGGGCCTTTACTTGTCTACCCAACGACTAAAACAAAGTAATTATCTCGAACTGATGACATGCACTAAAGACTGCATATATGTTTGACAACGGATACGGATCTATAATGTTTCTATATCCGAGAAAAAGTATTTCTAGTTCACATTCCTAATCGTAACGTAATTACTAAATTGTGCAGATGGGATGATAGGATGTCTGCTGTTACGCCAGATGAGGATATCTTCTACCTTGTTGGAATATTGCAAGCAGGCAGTTTCGATAATTGGCAAGAGTTGGACAATATAAACAATGAAATTCTGGAATTCTGCAACAGAGCTGGAATAAACATTAAGCAGTATCTCCCACACTACACATCCGAAGAAGATTGGATAAAGCATTTTGGTTCAAAATGGAACACTTTCCGAGAAAGAAAAGCACGGTTTGATCCAAGAATGATATTGTCACCAGGACAAAAAGTTTTCGATTCTGTTTGAATCATAAACTAGAACTTGCGAATTATGAGTAAGTTAATTTGTCTTTAAATATAGACTCTGGTTAATTATTAATAATTATTTTAGCCCGTTAGCCAATTCTCCAATGAATTAATTACATCCCAACATGTGACAGCCTTAGTGCCGCATAAAGTGCTCGTAAGTACAGCTTACATATAGCATTATTCTAATAGAATAGATGCCATTAATTTCGGAAAATGTTTTCACGTATCGAAGTGCTTCTTTCTTTCTACTTGAAATCACTGGTGAAAAATAAACAAAGTACAATTTACAAGGGCATTTGGCTAGGCTCTAGAGTAATAAACTTAGAGAAATCGCATTTTCAACAACGTAAAATATATATCCAGTGCTCAAGTCAAACTTCGTGTCATCATGTGCCTGGTTAGAATCTTGGCAGTCACGGGAGATTGGTTATTGTCTAAACTGGCTATAATTTAGGAGAAAAGAAAGCAAGTTATACAAATGTAAATTTCCTTAAGACAATAATCAAATGGACGTATATCTCCCAAGTTATAAAGTTTTAAAAAAAATTAATATAGCACAATATTATTTTTTCAGGTGAACCAATGCTTGATTGTACTCTTTTAGACTAGAAAATATTGAATTTTAAATATCAAACAACAGCTGAAAAATTATTTGGAAATTATATCAAATAATCTATAGAAGGAAAGAATAAGAAATCAATTATACGGAATTGATTTAAAGAGAAAAAATGGAATTAGGAATGTCCGATCTATAGATTTTCATGCATCTCTTCGAATTCTTGCATCTTACGGATTCAACCATTAGATCGAATCATTTCATGATTGATGCGGTAGATTGTACCCTATCAAAAAATCATGAAGATACTCTTAATAAGTAACAAAAATATTGATTAAAGATATATTACAAGAAAAATAGTTATTTATAATGATATTATTTGCTACGGACAAAAAAAATGTTGTGAATAACATCTCTTGTAGATGAGTAGGGAAAGTAACCAAAACTCAGAAGTCGATTTAAGTTGTTAGAACAGGTCCTCTGTAAGTCTAAAAACAAGCAGTAAACTTATCTTAAATTTAATCTTCTTAGTTTATAGACAGACATGAAGATTCTTTGAAATTTATTAGCCAAGCCATCACGGTGCTCAAGAGTATCATCACACATATCTTACACTTTATTATTACAAGGAATATAATAAGAAAAGCGAATGAATTGATTCGTACTTTTTGCCACCTTATATAGACTGTCCTCATATAGACCATAGATCATATTAACAAAGACAAAGAGACCAAGGTTAACCTTTTTATCCTTGCCCTTTGTTATGAAAAGTTTCAAATCTATCCTGTAAGTTTGATTTCTAATTATTTAATTTGATGTTCTATAGATTATTATGTTCATGCAAAACCATAGACGTATGGGATCATTGACAAATAATAATATAGTGAGTAAAGTGTATCGTCTCATGAATGATAAATTTCAAATTGAATTGTACCTATCCAATTTCAAATTCAAGTGCACTGTAGGAATTCGCAGAATACTGTGACATGAATTTTGGGTAAGAAGATCTTACTTGAAATGATGAGTTTCAAGATCTTTTCTTGTGATTGAATCACCTTGCATTCCAAAACTCCAAAATCTGTATTTTCTTGTTCTCTAATGATCTCATTCCCGATCACAATGGAAGGAAATTATTATCCATAATCTAAGTGCCATTTGTTGTGAGATTTTATGCCAAAAATATGGTTCTAGGGACTTTCTAATTTTGGTGTGAATTTCAATACGAATTTTCACCATTTTTTATGCCATTCTTTTTTGTCCCCCTTTTTTTGCATAACTCCTATATGGAGGTTGCAAGTAATTATCTTGGGAGTTGTAGGGAGTTGAGAAAGTTAGAGATTTAAATTCCATTCAAGACATTCCCTTCTAACCCTTTTAAAATCTTGCAGGTCGCACCCTACATGGGCAACTCATTACCCGTATTTTTCAACATCTCCCTTTCGCACATGATGAGTTGATCTAAACCACAAATGACAACGAATGTCACACCTTAGATCGTTCTCGATATCTATCTCACAAAGATTCATACGTTAAATAGATCGTGTGACCAGCGAGTAATATTAGAGCTCGTGGTACTATAAACCTGTTAGAAATATATAGTGGCTTTGTTAGATGAACATCAATCTCGCTATACCCAAAACTCAATTTTCAACATTAATTCAAGTATTTCCAATCCCTTGAATATTTATGGGACATACTTGAATCCCACATCGTATTCTTATATTCACAATTGAGCTCTATACCCTAAATGGTTAAACACAATTGTTTGGCCAGTGAATAAAAATATAAATATTTTCAAAATATTTTTCATTTCCTACTTGAATACTTCAATTTTAAATCAACTGCTTTTTTAGACATGCCCCATCAAACTGAATCAATCATAGTTATTAGCAACATGTTAAAGTAGCAATACTGAAATAAAATCTCAAAAAATAGTCAAAAGTTATAAGGGTATATATGAGATTATATAAACCTCAGGGTCTCACACAATAAGAAAGCAGGGATCCATTCACTCATTTACCCAATATTAGTCGTAAAAGCACACGTGGTATGAAACATGTGCTACGATGTTTTCTCCCTTTTTGGGACGTATGTCATATTTTTTGTAAACAAATAACACCATACAGATCCTAGTTCAGGTATTTCTCGATATCTAACTGAGTTCTCCGCATGTTTATTCCTCCAGGCAATCTCAAATCGAGAACTCGATCTAGCTACTAAACAAGTTCAATGGATAGCAAAATTCATTTCGATTATTTGTTGTAATCTCATCTTGATATCTTAACAAGGCGACTAGATCATGTTCACAACATGATCATTGTGTCTCATCTCAGCACACTTCAAAGCGTCTGAAGCAATTGTTTGTGTGAGTGAACCAATCTCAACTCATTCGACATACTTTATATGCGCATACAAATTATTTATCTCATAATCCCAACATTAGATTACACATGAACTCAAATTGTTCCCTTATGGGCATACAAAACTCAATCAAGAGTTTTTTGATACACTAAGTATCGTATTCTACAAAATTCTAGATATTCATATTACTAACAAATATATCTCTAGAGATCTTTAGAGTATAATGATTACATATCATCATTTATGTAAATATATCACAAAGACACTTTATTTGCTAATACCTCTTATAGAAATATAATCAAGTACTTTGTTCTATCTTGATACTTGACATCTTAATACATAAAGTAGTTGCATAACTATCATGTATACCATATTCTCAACCAGCATCATTAGATGCTCAATCATAGGATGACAATCGGACTTGTCGGCTCGGGCCACCAGTCACTTGGCTTGGAAAAGGCCTGAACTAGTCCAGCTCAAGGCTTGGAGGCGCTAAGTCCCATTTTGGGAAGTTGACTCGAGCTTGAGCTTGAGCCCAAGCCGACCCATGTGGCTTGATGAACCATAAGAGCTGGCCCGTTTAAATTTTAAAAAAAATCAATCTGCAAGCTGCCTTTTGAGGCAACGATTTAGCTACCAAACCGAAGCAGCTTGCTACCTTAAACCAGCAGTTAAGAGAAAGAATAGAACCGAAAGCTCGGGTCGAGCCTTAATTTTTTTGGCCGAACTTTTGCTCAGCTCAGCTCGTCTCGTTAAACACCTTTATCAATACACTTATACCAAACAATTTCTTAAGCTGCCAAGATATACATTACAATATATGTTTCTTGCTACTCTATATAGCAAGAGTGCACAAGTCTAAGAACTAATTGTGTTCAACTAACTCTCATTCTTAATCACCAATTGTATGTCATTCCAATCACAAGCTATTCTTTTGACAACAAAATAGAATAACTGATAGCAATACTCTTTAGGTATCATAATACATTTTCTAAGGATAATATTGATACCCCCTGACTAGGTCAATGGCATGACCAATGTTATGGCAAGTATAGATCATAGTATACTTCTATCTTCTAACTCTTAATCATACTAGATATGGTTTTCTAGATATTTCTTTGTGCACTTATGAAGTCTTTTGACATTTATGAAGACTCATATGATCACCTTCGATTGTAGGAGTATCAACGGGATAGCAATTCCACATGAACTTTTATAGTATAATACTCTAGTGATGGAACAAGAAGACTCGAATGATCTTTTAACACAAATCATACAATTTGCCCTTGTCTCAAAGATTGAGGAAACTATTTCAAGATGGTCTCTATACACTCCTTATACTTAACCAGTCCAATATAATCAACAACAAAAATAGAATTACAAACTACCACCAGACCTTTACATAAATACAGTAATTTTTGTCCATATGACAAAATTTTGGTACGAGATTTAAACCCTGTTAAAAACTGAAGTACGATGACTGTATTAGGCCACACTTGTAATTATAAAGGTTACCATGATACTAAAAGGGCCTTTAACATGAAATCTACAAGACAATTCATGTTGATCTCTTCAACCATTTCTTAATTGAGAATAAAAATACAATCTTTAGGTCTATTTGTTGTAACTCTAAATTTAAACATACTATCATGGCTAGCATCAATGTACAGAAATGATTCCTATTGTCATGAAAAAAAAAATTCTAACTCAATACACTCATATTGAGTATAACCGTTTAAAAAAATGAACTTTATCTATCAGAAACTCATTAGTCTTCCACATAGTTTTCAAGAACCCGAATGTTATCAGTAAACATAATTTCCAAATAGAACTTTCACCATATCCCAGATTATAAATTCTATACTCCATATATATGCTTCAATCACTTTCCTCAAAATTCTCCACTAGTTTTCTGAAAAAGAAATCTTTGACATTAAATAGCTCTTAGCTCCCACTTAGAACTAAGAATCATTGATATTAAATAACTCTTAGCTCCCACCGAAAGCCAAGAGTCATTGAAATTAGATATCTTTTAGATGGCTCCCACTCGGATAGATAGGTCCAACTCGAAAATAGATTAC